ATATCTCTCCAAGTGACTTAATCTTATCTCGTTAATGCAGTAATGAGGCTAACATGGGTTAAGGTTCTCAGATAATACAGGCCAGTTTGTTGATTGGTTGGGGTGGGGGTTTCGTCTAATATCTATTGATTACATGTCTCTAATGTTAGTCCTACAGATAGCTTTGTACACTCGTAATGGGCGAAAACGTCAGCATGGACGGTCATTTCCTGACAGCACAAAGACAAACATACGCAAACACAATATTGCAGTGGCAAGTATACATAATATGCTCTCAAATTCACACATACACTCGTATATGCACTCACTTTTATTCAAGCACACCCACACACACTCACTAACGTAACAGTCTTTAATTCTTAGTCTTCAGTGCCAACTAGTGGCAGGCTATGAGACTGCAGTTCAGCCTGAGGTCGAAGATGCATTGAAACCTTTGCTCAGAAAAACCCTCAGTCCTCCAAATAGCCAAATTATACCCCCAACTTAAATCTAACTCTTACACAGACCTGTAGATATCAACTGAGTTGAAGCAAAACGTATTTATGAGCCTTTGAAATAGCGAGGAGCACTTCAAATGTCAGGTTCTGACGGGATTCACTATATTTCTGTCAAAAGTATAGTCAGACCTTTGCGCACACACAGAGTTGTCCACAATACGGCTAAACAAGAGAAACAGTTCCTGTTTGACAGGAATGAAACTGTAATCGTTGCAATTTACACCCTCATTTGTCATGGTGCAGCTCTGAGCATGAAAAAATTAAGTAAATATGTACTGAATAATTACACCCTGAATAAATGACACTGTTAATATGGACCTTCTTTGGAGGGAAAGTACTGCTTCCATAATTAATTGCAACAGTGAGCACAGAGACAGCTGGTGACAGCAGCTTGGCCAGGCTTACAATGCTTTAGTCAGTGTTGTGCTGTTTGTTCATTGTGTTTGCTTGTTTGTCATATGTGTACTTGTTTTTCTATTTCTGTAAGAAGCGTGGAAAGGTTTCCATTCAGAGGCTGAATCACTGCCTTAATTCAAACAAAATTTGCAGTGTGTCTTGTAACAGGTTGAATCATCCTTACTTTAACTGACATTAGTTCATTAGACTGATGACAGAGTTTTAGCTAGACTAAACTTTAGCTTTAATTTATGCAATGGCCTAATATACATGTGAGTATGTATGAGAAAGAGAGGAGAAAGTAAATGATTAATTGTGAAAAGTGAAATAAGACATGTCAAAATAACTCAAGCTAATCTTATTTGGTTCTAGCTAGCAACAGCATACATAGGACGTGGTATACAGTCATCCTCACCCTGAACACAATCTCAGCTCTTTGTCTAAATCCCAACATAACAGAATATTAAAAACTAACAGGGTTCTCCCTTTTTCATTTCGCTCAAAAACACGTAAAATAACACTTAATTTCAGTTTCAGTAAATGTACTGTATGTTGAACATATGTCCCTGTAAATGTCTGGGATTTATGAAATGTCTAAAATGTCCATGTTTTGGCTCTGTTTTGTTTTTTTACTTTCTTAAAGACTGAAAAGTAGTTTGATCCAGGCACTGGCAAGGATTTCCACTATAAAGAACCTTTTGTGCAATGGAAAGGTTCCATGGAATGGATGTTAAAGGTTCTTCCAGGGAACCATCAATGTCAGTAAAGATCCTTTATTTTTATAAGTGTATGTGGACTGTAGAGAGCACTTCAGTAGTTCAGGCAATTTACAAATTCCAGCTAGGAGGATGTAATGTATGGGCATCCTAGTTAATGCCAACAAAAACGGACAACACAAATGCATTAAGTTTTACAAATTTAATTGGATTGCATATAAATTGCATTATGCAAAATGTTCAAGAACTGTGAACTTGCATTAGTTCATTTTAATATTTAATGTAAACTGAACCAGCAGCATTTTGTGTCTCCTGTCTTCCATTTCTTCATAAATACAATTATCTCAAATTAATGTTTTCTTCATCTCATCTCATTTCTCTGTCTTGAGAAGGTGATTTAGTATTTTGTGTGTTGCACAGTCTGTTAAGTCTGTGAGTTTAGAGTGACACTTGTTCTCTTGGGGGGGTATGACATCCTCTTTACCAGCTGTTTACTGAATCTGACTGTTACGTTCAAGGATGTGCTGTTAGCAAATCAGTCAATGAGTCATAAATGCAGTATCAATGATAAAACCGTTGCTATATTCATTATTGTGAAATTAATTATTGGCTAATCAACTTATTTAAAGCAGAATTTGCATAAAAGCAATTTTTGTTCCCAATATTCATCCTTCACATATTGAGGTTTGACCTCATGATTCTCATTTGCTCTGACATGCACTGTGAGCTGTAAGGTCTTATATAGACAGGTGTGTGGCTTTCCTAATCAAGTCCAATCAGTATAATCAAACACAGCTGGACTCAAATGAAGGTGTAGAACCATCTCAAGGATGATCAGAAGAAATGGACAGCACCTGAGTTAAATATATGAGTGTCACAGCAAAGGGTCTGAATACTTAGGACCATGTGATGTTTCAGTTTTTCTTTTTTAATAAATCTACAAAAATGTCAACAATTCTGTGTTTTTCTGTCAATATGGGGTGCTGTGTGTACATTAATGAGGAAAAAAAAATAACTTAAATGATTTTAGCAAATGGCTGCAATATAAAAAAGAGTGAAAAATTAAGGGGGTCTGAATACTTTCCGTACCCACTGTAAATAAATGAGAAAAATTTATTTTTCGGAAGAGTTTGAACGGTTGGTCACAGACGAGAACCAGGGTCAAGAGGAAAAAGGAGGAAGGAAGAGCAGGTTTTCAAGAGGGTCTCAATGAGCAAAGTCCTGGAGAAGGAGGCACTCACTAGGCCCAGAAATATCTGACATGTCATATGTGTTTGTATTTAGCTGAACAAATTGCTTTTCTAAAAGAAATAAAGAGGGAAAATGTAGATGTTGCTGCTTTTTCCAAGATACAAGCAAAAATGTTGCATCAGCATTATGGATATCCAATAAGTGCTGTAAGTCTTAGCATATCAGAAGTTTGAAAAAGCATGCCACAGCAATAAGACAAGGAAGCAAGGCAATATAAAAGTCAATTTAGGAGAAAAAAAACTCAAATGCAATCTTTACTTATTTTTTCTGTATTGTCTTTCTTATCAATTTCCTGCCTCAGAACAAAGGCAAAGGATTTTCAGTTGCAGAGCACTGTAAATTAAACATTCTGTATTTGTTGTTGTTGTTATATCTGAATATGTGTTCAACCAGAAATCCTCTGTTACCTCAAGCAGCTATAAGCACTCAGACAGACTTGTGCTTTATCAGGTCAGATTTCCCAGTTAACCTGAAGGGGAAGGGTAGTGGAAGCCAATAATCCTGAAGTCTCTTCATTGTGGCATATAATTGATACTACTGCTGGTACATAAAAAGGATGTTTAGTTGACTTATACAGGTCATGTCAACATCGGCTGAGTCTGACAATCTTACCCTGACCCCTAAATGAAGCTGGGTGAGGTTTGACTTGACTGGCAAGTGCTGGAGTTCTTAAAGGTCAAAATAAAAAAATAAGCAATTCAAATTTAAAAAGAGGGCATAATAAATGATCTTTTCAATCAAAAAGGGTGGCAGTCTTGCAGCTATAGCCTCAATATTGTATTGCTACAGGCAACCTAAACACTATTCTAACCAGAAGTGGCCATTTTTAGACTCTCCAGCTTAAAAACATTTGGTGTTTGTTCCTATACAGGCATACAGGTAAACCAGACTCTTATGACTGATATGTTATTGACTGTTTTACCACTGACATTTTGACAAACTTTCAAGACAGCGGTATCACAGCAACTGCGAGACACTGAATTTTCAAGACCTCCAAGTGAAAGCAGCATCGCCTGAATCACAGAAGATGGAGGGCAGGTTGTTCAGCTTCACAATGGCAAAAATACGAACAACTGATGCAACTTTAATCTTCAGAGAAGTCCCAACCAGTGGCAAGATTGATAAATGACTGTAGAGTCCAGAAAGAAAGAAAAAAGCACTGGGAGCAATAGCTGTAGACAGACACAAGACACTCTGCTAATTGTAAGGAATGGATGTTTTTCTGACCAATATTAGAAAAAATATCAGATGCCAGATTCATTTTTTTATTTGAATATTTAAGCAAAACCATTTCTTGTTTTATGAATTAATCAATATTTGACCTCACGTTTGATTATTGTTGTTACTTTGCAAGTATAGTGTTGCTATTGTTCTTTCATGGTATTTTAATTTGTATAGTGTGTAAAATGAATAGCCATTTAGAAATAACAGTAGATTTTAAATAGTGCTGTCAAACGATGTAATCTGTACGCACTGTAATCATGATTAATCGCATCCAAAATAAAAGTTTTTGTTTACATAATATAATGTGTGTGTACTGTGTATATTTAATATGTATATATAAATGCACACAAATACAGTATATATTTAGAAAATCTTCTCATGTATATATTTATATTCATGTAATTGATATTATATACAAATATTTTAAATATATAAACTTAACATATTTTTCTTAAATATATACATGCATGTGTGTGTATTTATATATACATAATAAATATACACAGCACACACACATATATTATGTAAACAAAAACCTTTATTTTGGATGCGATTAATCGTGATTAATCATTTGACAGCACTCATTTTAAACCATTTGTAAATACGATTAATAGAATAAGAGTCTCATCTTAACTCTGTGTTATTCTGTTTTTCTCTCTCTTTCTCTCTCTCCATCTCTTTGCATTAATAGTGCAGCAGGCAACATATTGCCAGGGTACGGTTAATTTGGTAATGGTCTCCCGTGTGGCAAACCGTTAGATTAATAATTAATAAGGCTTATTGAATAGCAGGGAAATTTCCCTTAAACTTTGACATGTTCTAAATGTATGCAACACGGAAAAGGATAAACAAACATATAGAGAAAACAAGCATACATAAGGTATGATAAAATGATACGTGTTGAAATTAGACTCACGTAGCTGAGGATGGATGTAGAATTAGATGTCAAGTCACTCTTTGTAAGAATGGAAGGGGAAAAGAGGGCTGTGTGTTTGCGTGTGAGTGGAAAAAGTACAGACGGATGTGCTGTTTTAATGAATCTGTGGATGTGTGGTGGCGTCACAGTGTGGACTCACAGAGCCAATGGGATCAGCTCAGAGCTGCACAGTGCTGACCTTGAAACTGGAATTAGTAGGATGACGCACAGGCCACAGGTGTGGGAAAAGAAAGACAGAAAGAGGAATAGAGCTAGAGAGACAGACAGAGAAAAGACAAAGAGAGAGTGGCATCAGCCGTTGACTCTTAATGAACATGCAGCGCACACACAAACACACACAGACACACGCATCTTGTGTTTGTACAGGTAGAGCTATATGTGAATATTGTGAGAATGGTTTGGTGATTTCATATGCATGTCATTTCCTTCTATTCATGCGTATGTGTCCTTCAGGGACTGAGTGTGAAACAGACGGAGGAGGGGTAGATGAGGAGAGAAAGAAGAGGGAGCCATGAGCCTGGATGAAATACATAAACAAGCCACAATAGTTATGAAAGCAAATAAATGGTACGGAGCATATTTATCCAATTACTGAAAAATTAAGACGTATGACTTTAGGTCCATCTTGTTCCATTATTCACATGTTCCTATTTTACCGTCTTCATATTAGAGGTCATGAATTTTTAATAAGGTAAGCACTGAGGCAGTTTTTTATTGGTCGTCTGTTGCTAAACAACTCACCGTAACATTCCAGCACCGCATTGTTTCACTGTGTAGACCTTTTGCATTGCTATTCGGGGTAAACCAGTTTTTGGATTATATGTATAAACTGGTCTTTACTAAGGTTTAAAAGATGTTATGTGTGTAGATGTGGTTGTGTGAGTTAACATGCTTTGGTCATTTTTTCACATTTCTAGTTTATTTGAATTTCTTTTTTACAGTATATTTGGCAGATACCTCTTTTATTTATTTTTTTACCAAACCAATGAACTTGAAACCAACATGGAAGTTAACCTCAGTACAAATGATGGAGCAAATTTCCAGCTAAATTACTCATCAAATTTTGCCATCCTCTAAGAAATCAAATCCCATCCGGATAGCATCCGGATAGACAGTTCTGACTTTATTTCTTACAATTGCAATTCTCAGAATTGCGAGTTTTTATCTCAAAATTGCAACATATGATTTGTGAGTTTACATCTTGCAATTCTGACTTTTTTCTCTGAATTCTGAATTTACCTCTAACAATTCAGTTTTTTCCCCCAACAGAATAAAAAAAGGTAATTGCAACTTTTTTCTCACAATTCAGATTTTTTTTGCCCCTCAGAATTGCATGTTAAATTCACTAAGTAAAGTGAAGAATAGTATGTTGTACTGACAAATCCTTAGTTAGGATAGTTTACTTACACGAGAGTTTTAGTAACTAAAAAAGAACTGTAGGGGGTACTTGATCCTTTCATTTAGGTTTACTCATGACTTAGTATAGCTACTCACTGACTCTCAGAGTGCATTACTGAATTATGCAGTTGCTTTGTTTAACAGTTGTTGATTTTATTTGCCAATTTTATTTGCTGTCTTGTGTCAGTAGTAGCACAACAAAAAGAGCAAATGAAATGGTTATTGTTACAATTAATGAAAATACATTTAATTTAATTGTTACCATTGTTGTGATTCACGTGCTGAATGTTTCATTCTGTGTGTGACTTTAGTATATTACCACACACTATTTAAGGATTATATAAACGCAATTAAAAGCATTCCAAGGTATTTAGGAAAAATTTAATTTGAAAAAGTTCATTAATAAACACACACACAAAAATACACTAATGCTTTAATTAGAAGGTCTCCTTCTAAAAGCAACCTATTTATCACTTTTCTTCCCTTGAAACCAAATAACTCTGACTTTATGATGCATTGCTGCATTAACAGGAGGAAAATTATAGTAACATAAACGAAGTTCCCAACCAAAGGGAACGCTAATCACTATAATAGTGAGTAAAAAAAACACACACATTTTAGGAAAATCAACATCAATTTATGAAGTTAGCTTATGTGATGTTCTCTCAAATATTTCAGTTGTACTGAAAATTCAACATTCAAGATGACTTTGGGAAACGAGTGAATGCAACTAGTGAAAGATAACTGCACACATGGAGGAAATGGGTGAAAAGTCTATTAAGACTCTTTTTCTTTTCTTCTTTTTCTGTTGTTATGTTGCACATTAGCAACATATTAGTGCACTGCTGCCTCTCACTGCTTTATTAATATCATTGGTTCCTTTGTGGCTACTTGAATATTTTAAGTAAGTGTCACTCAAAACAGTAAGTAAACTGTTTTATTTGCCTTGAATGTAACTGTAGCTTAATAAAACCTAGTAGGTATAACAACTAAGTAAAGGTAACTAATTAAATCTAAGTAAGGTAAACTATTGGATTTTACAGTGTACAATCCCATCTCTATCATCAGTAACTGAAATTATTCTTAATATTCTCAATTAAGAAAGTATTCTTAATTGGGTAACATTTTAGTATAGGGACCTATTCTCAGCATTAATTGTTAAATCTCTTATTAACATATCGGCTGTTTATTAGTACTTATAAAGCACATATTCAGTATGACCATATTCTACATCCTTAATCCTGCTCAATACCTAAACTTAACAACATCCTTACTAACTATTTATAAGCAGTAAAGTGGGAGTTTATTGATACAAAAGTTACAGTTAATGGTTTGTTAATGGCAAGAATATTGCCTAAACATTGCCTAAAAAGTGCATCTTCACTGAATAGAGCTCATTTCTTCGTGTACCTCTATCTCTACCTCTATTTATATGCCATTTAATCTCTCATGACCCCTCACTCAAGTCTGTTTAGAATGCGGTATCTAAGCGCAACCTGTGCTTGTTTTGTGCTTTATCCCTTCATCTTTTGTCCTGTCATGCTGGACAACACCTCCTTGTTTTCAGTGAATTAGTCTCTGGATCTTTATCTGTACATTTGGATCTGGGAGAGTCTGAAAACAATCCCCTCCCCCAGCACTCACAATGCTCCCCAGCTATCTGTCAATAGATGAGTCACCCAACCTGCACAGACACAGAGGGAGGCTGTGGAAAGAGAGGGAGACAGAAACAGAGTCAGAGAGGTAGATGAGAGAAAGCAGAGGAGAAAAAGATGAGCAATATATAACCAGCCTAAAGGCCTGTTCACACCAAGGACGATAACTATAACTAAAAAGTTTTAATAACCATTCTAGTTCTGTGAGAATAGCGAAGTCAACACAATGGCTAGACACAGAGGATCGATATCATTTGGTAGCCAATCAGAGTCTTACTTTAAACAGCTTGAGCATTTAATGCGACAGATGACATAACTGCACATAAAACTTGGTGAAGACGCAACCTGGTGTGGATGCTAATATAATTATCGGTATAGTTATATTTAGAGTTATTGTTCTTAGTGTGAACAGGCCTTAAAAGAGACATTTTACTGAAGGGCCAATTCCTCTCTCACCCTCACTTTTGCCATCTCACTCCCTCTCTCTTTCTTTTGTATGTTTTTCTCCATCTGTCCCAGAAGGCTTAGCAAGTAAAAGTGTTTTTGTTAAATGTGCCCTCAATAGGCTAAAAGTCTCTCTAGGCATTCACTTACACAGCACAACAGTCATATATCCACATGTGTCTTTAAATATTTAACTTTAAAAATGAGCTGCAATATCTTTCAGAATGTTAGGGCTCACTATTCGTTTCATAACCTTGGTTTGGAAAATTGCTTTTAAAATAATGCACAAGCACTGATATAATTAACAAAGGCTGTGCTCAAAATGTGCTCAAGGCAACAAGGTTTATAAAGAATAAAAAAATATTCAGAAATAGAAGACAGGTACATGCAAAAGAGAAATTTGAATAAAGATAATGGGAACGTGAAGTTCAAATCAAGCGGATGCTGTCATGAAAAGAAATCACATGGAATAGATAATGGAATGACGTTTACTGAGACATGTTCACTAGGGAGTTCATCATTTCGAAATGACTCTGAACCGTTCAATTCACAGTCAATGGTCTAGCCAACGTCATTTGGAGCCCACACACAGGTGCGTAATCATAACAAATTCGTAATATCGCATAACTCTCCAGTCCTTTACTAGCACACTAAATGAAAATAAGATTTCAAATGCACGTCAGCCTGGCTGCCGCTTTGGCAAGGTCTCACTGCTGAAATGAGAGTGTCAGCAAGTCCCCGCACACCTACACACACTCTCTCATTTGAAACAAACACACGTCGTGCTCTTTCCTTTATTCCCAGTAGATTTTGACACACTGCAGATACTTATGTTTTTCAACACATTTTTAAAGACTAGAATGGCTTCTAAACAGTCATTTCATCTTTGATTTTACACCAGTCTTGGCCAATGCTCAGAAAATGGTATTTATGTACACTCCCTCAAAGTCCCTCTAAGGTGAGTCATCTCACTTGGTTTTCTAAGTAGGCACTAGGCAGCATGCATCTGCGTGAATGGAAACGGTTTGTCAATATTGCGTTAAATTCCAGATTTCATACAGTGTGGTTATTGTTGACTAAAGCTGAAAATAAAACTAATAAAAGTGTTATTTGCGAATTGAAAGAAAGCTACAACAAAACAAAACAGAACATAAACATTAGCTGAAAAACTTAAACCTAAAAATATATTTTTTTTAAAATGAAAAATACTATATTAGTAACACTAAATTCTATAAATAAATAAATATATATATATATATATATATATACAGTTGTGCTCATAAGTTTACATACCCCTTGCAGAGCAGCAGGCAGTTGAACTGCTCAGGACAAGCAAGGGACTCACGAACATCTATCACAAAATATAAAAACAGTCATGGATCATCCAGGAAATGACACATAGTATTAAGATTCGAGGCTATGTAAACTTTTGAATAGGGGCCTTTTTATAAATTCAGTTATTATTTTTTCTTGTGGAGTATATGTAAACTTCTGTTATGTGAAATAGCTTTTTCAGGACAGTACTAAATAAAAATTGAAACTCTTATTTTGTT